ACACGGTTTATTACAGAAGCCCAGAGGCGACAGCATAAAATTACTTTTGTATTTTGTATTTTTGTGTTTTATATTTTGTATTTTTGTGTTTTATATTTTGTATTTTTGTGTTTTATATTTTGTATTTTATATTTTGTATTTTATATTTTGTATTTTATATTTTGTATTTTATATTTTTGTGTAATTATAATGTTCTTAAACGTGGGATTATAGGCATTTAGTAATACAAATTGTAGTGATATTAACAACAATACATATGTCAATACATGATTACAAGCTATGGAGACGTTGTATTTTGACTGCGCGAAATGCGTATTACATACTGAAGAACGCTTGTTTAAAGAGCATTATCGCGCGCATTACTAAGACTATGTGCACACGGTAATGTTTCCGAGCGTTTCTAAAACGTCGTTTCCAATTTTGTCAGTTTGACGCTCTGTCCACACGGAAACGTTTTCACGAGATGCAAATGTTTGTCTCGATAAAAATTCCATCTCTAGCAGCTTGTTATTACCATTCATTTTCCACCAGATAAAGTCATTACTTGTCAACGAGTTTCTTAAAATGTCCTCTGCTCATTATCATAAAGTAAACAGTTTTATATGTACTGTTTAGCATCACCGACACGAAGTCTGTCGCTTCTTCGAAAGCAAACCGCATTTTAAATCGTTCATAAATCATTACACATTTGAAAGGCTATATATTTTGTTTTATTTGTTGCTAAAGTTTTTAACTTAAGAATTAATGATCCAATGAAAGATCTTAAGCTTCCAGGAAACAAAAATATAACATTTTGATTTTAAGCCGCCAGCTTGGATTTTTAGCGTTTCAACGTGAAAACGCTTGTCCGAAAACGTTTTTAGCATTGAGAACGTTTTCGTCATAAGATGACGTTTTCATCCGTTTTCGTGTGGACACGGCTTGAAAACGACACTTTTTGAAAACGTTACAGCTGAAAACGCTCGAAAACGTTACCGTGTGCACATAGTCTAAGATATGCATACCGAATTCGCCATGCAGACATTAGCATTACTCCCGTAATAAGGCTCGGTTCAGACGGCGACATTTTCAAGCGCTTCATTTCTTACGGCACAACCGCACAAGCTCGGCAACTGATTTAGAGTTTAGATGCAGCTCTTCTAGATCTGTCGTACTTATAAATCGTTGTACTACGGGTTCGGCGCATGAGAAAGTTCGCCGTCTAAACCGAGTCTAAGGCTGTCTGCATGCATGGCGAATTCGGTATGCGTATCTCAGTTATTGATATGCGCGCGATAATGCTCTTTATTTAAACAAGCGTTCAGTATGTAACACGCATTTCGCGCAGTAAAATACAATGTCATTATGTGACTATAGCTTGTAATCATGTTTGACATATGCATTGTTGTATAAAAGTAAAAAGCTGAGCTGAAACATAATATAAACAAATATAAAAGTGAAAATATAGAAGTGAAAATATAGAAGTGAAAATATAAAAAGTGAAAATATAAAAGTGAAAATATAAAAGTGAAAATATAAAAGTGAAAATATAAAAGTTAAAATATAAAAGTTAAATGTTGGAGATGAGCGTCTAAGCAGGAAGACCTCCTGGGGCTATGGTATGTGATTCAGCATTTCATTGATGTCTGACTTGCAACCGAAAACCACGATATCGTCGGCTGTTGACATGTATAAAAGTGAAAATATAAAAGTGAAAATATAAAAGTTAAAGTTGGAGATGAGCGTCTAAGCAGGAAGACCTCCTGGGGCTATGGTATGTGATTCAGCATTTCATTGATGTCTGACTTGCAACCGAAAAACACGATATCGTCGGCTGTTGACATGGCCGGAATTCCACTGCGTATCACTAACCGATCTCGAATCCAGCTTTCGCGCATGTAACCGTCTTTATACGCACGGCCTAAAAACTTTCTTATTGTCAAATAAGTTAATTGTGCCTAAAACTGTAAAAATATTAAAGTAAAAATATAAAAGTGAAAATATAAAAGTGAAAATATAAAAGTGAAAATATAAAAGTGAAAATATAAAAGTGAAAATATAAAAGTGAAAATATTAAAGTGAAAATATAAAAGTGAAAATATAAAAGTGAAAATATTAAAGTGAAAATATAAAAGTGAAAATATAAAAGTGAAAATATAAAAGTGAAAATATAAAAGTGAAAATATAAAAGTAAAATATAAAAGTGAAAATATAAAAGTAAAATATAAAAGTAAAGTTAGAGATGAGCGTCTAAGCAGGAAGACCACCTGGGGCTATGGTATGTGAGGCTGTAGATAAAGGCGGGCGGACGACGGACGACTATAAAAGTGAAAATATAAAAGTGAAAATATAAAAGTGAAAATATAAAAGTGAAAATATAAAAGTAAAGTTAGAGATGAGCGTCTAAGCAGGAAGACCACCTGGGGCTATGGTATGTGAGGCTGTAGATAAAGGCGGGCGGACGACGGACGACGGACCATTTTATAAACACATGATTACTACCGCAACTAATAATAATACTCTAAATTAAAGTATACCAGGCTACCAGCCTTAGATCTGTGAAAGGAATATGTTTTCACCCGTTCGAATTTTTAGCAATGGAATTTAATTTGATACTTATGTATGATGGCTATACGCTGTCTTTCTCGGGAAACTTAAACTTTTGGAAATATTGTAAAAAAGCGCCTTAGTTTTGGAGCTTCTGTTTGGCAGAATTAAATGATGATGACATTAACTTGCTGACATTTTCGTAGTTTAAATAGTGCTGTCTTGTTGTTTTATAATGAAAATAATCTCCGTTTTAATTATAAACCTACGAGGTTCACACGTAGAAATGGCCGATTTGCATGCGACGACTATTCTATATATGGATTTTAGAAATATTATGTATTAGGGGTGGACCATTTGATGGGGTGGATTTTCATTGAGCCCAATAATCAGTTTTTAAACCTCCTAATGCTTGCTCGATATTTTTCTGTCATTCAAGGCTCTTCAACGATTGTTTTATTTCGGGGACACATATAGGTAGTAAGTATTGAATATAGGCTATGGATCGTGATTTAAGAGAATTTTTTATAAAGTTTGGACATGCAAATGTTCACAATTGTAGTATATTTACAATTGTATATATTTGTAATTTCCTGACATATTCATGTAAATATTGTATATTATAATATCTACTATATATGTAAATGTCACACAGTAATCAGTGTAACAAGCTGTTTGAAAATGTATATATGTGTAACGTCAACTTGGGCAATGTAAGTTGTGCAGCAGCGTAAATATTGGGTATTCTATTACGTAGTATTTAAAACACTAGAAGGAGTGTTTTATCGTATTTAAAACGCGAGGCGCAGCCGAGCGTTTTAGATATGATAAAACGCGAGTTCGAGTGTTCTGAATAGCTTAAAATACGACTACAAAAGAATACTAATTAGGATGAACAATTATATAATCATACTAATTAGGATGAACAATTATATAATGAATGGGACCGGCTAAAGTCGCTAAACGGAGAGTTATGAAGCGGAGAGTTATCTCAGAGAGTTATGATTTCGGAGAGTTATGTTCGAACCACACCCAAACCACGCCCACTTTTTCCAACGACCACACCCAATTTCTTAACTCTCCTGACGTTTCCTTGAACTAACATGAGAGAGTTATGTTTGACGTAACTCTCTCTCGTTAACATTATGAAGATGTTAGAGAGTTATCATTTTTTATAACTCACCGCGTTCACACGATTGTGGCAATGCCAATGAAGAGAGTTATGTCCGTCAGTTTTTTGAAAAAAACTTCCACATTCTAGTAAAATTATTGTGAATTTACTTTTTTCTCAAGTTTCAGCTTTAATATTTCACGCTAGTAGAAACTTGTAGTAATTTGGTACTTACCAAGTGAAGCGAGTACGAGTAAATAAATTATTATACATGCTCACTTGGATTATCTACAAAGCCCAGCATTCAGATACAGCTCTCGTATTAGATGGAACCAGAAAACCTTTCCAATGCATGTAATGCCCTATTGGCTGATCTGGGAAAATATTTCCAAAACCTGAATTGCTGAAAGATTCAATTTTCTTAATTTTTTCAATTTTCTTGCAACTATGCTTCCTTATTTACTGCCAAATACACGTCAAAGCATGCTTCTGGGGGTACTTTGACCCTTCTGATGCAAGCATCTCACTGTTTTGACCGAGTCAAGTTGTACTATTCAGTTCTGTTTGGACGCACGCTATTGACACGCTACAAACTGAAATACCAAAATATAAGATGAAAATCTGAAGAAACAAGCTTTACTATTTAAAGGTTTTCTCAAAAAACTGACATAACTCTCTTCATTGCCACAATCGTGAACGCGGAGAGTTATAAAAAATGATAACTCTCTAACATCTTCATAATGTTAACGAGAGAGAGTTACGTCAAACATAACTCTCTCATGTTAGTTCAAGGAAACATCGGGAGAGTTAAGAAATTGGGTGTGGTCATTGGGAAAAGTGGGCGTGGTTCGAACATAACTCTCCGAAATCATAACTCTCAGAGAT